TGATAAAGAAGAAAGAAAATGAGGAAAGAGAGAGTGATAAAGAAGAAAGAAAATGAGGAAAGAGAGAGTGATAAAGAAGAAAGAAAATGAGGAAAGAAGGAAAAGAAGAAAGAAAATGAGGAAAGAGAGAGGATAAAGAAGAAAGAAAATGAGGAAAGAGAGAGTGATAAAGAAGAAAGAAAATGAAAGAAAGTGATAAAGGAGAAAGAAAATGAGGAAAGAGAGAGGATAAAGGAGAAAGAAAATGAGGAAAAGAGAGTGATAAAGAAGAAAGAAAAAGAAATAAAGAAGAAAGAAAAATGAGGAAAGAGAGAGTGATAAAGAAGAAAGAAAATGAGGAAAGAGAGAGTGATAAAGGAGAAAGAAAATGAGGAAAGAGAGAGTGATAAAGAAGAAAGAAAATGAGGAAAGAGAGAGTGATAAAGAAGAAAGAAAATGAGGAAAGAGAGAGTGATAAAGAAGAAAGAAAATGAGGAAAGAGAGAGTGATAAAGGAGAAAGAAAATGAGGAAAGAGAGAGTGATAAAGAAGAAAGAAAATGAGGAAAGAGAGAGTGATAATGGAGAAAGAAAATGAGGAAAGAGAGAGATAAAGAAGAAAGAAAATGAGGAAAGAGAGAGTGATAAAGAAAAAAATGAGGAAAGAGAGAGTGATAAAGGAGAAAGAAAATGAGGAAAGAGAGAGTGATAATGGAGAAAGAAAATGAGGAAAGAGAGAGTGATAAAAGAGAAAGAAAAAGAAAAATAGAGGTAAAATAATAATAGTTTAGAAAAGAAATATTAGGAGAAAGAAAAAGATAAGGATATAAAGAAGAAATAAAGAAAAGAAATAGAGAGGTAGGCTGGGAAAGAGGAAAACGAGGAAAAAGAAAGAATTAAAAGAAAGGTAACGTGTTAAAGGAAAAAGAAAGAGAAAATAGAAGGGATGATAATTCTGCAGAAGAAAAATAAAAAAGTATTTGAAATAAATGAGTTGAAAGGAAAAAGTAGAGTGAGAAAGAGTATGACTGAAAGAATGAAAAAATGAGAAAAAAGAAAGAAAAGTGAAGAAATATAATTAGAGAAAGAGAAGAGAAAGAATTTGAAAAAAAAAAGACTAGAAAGTAAAATGGAAATAGAAAAAAGAAAATAAAAGAAAGAAAAAAATGAAAAAATAAAACGAAAGAAATAAGAAAAATGAAAGAAAGCAAGAAAATGAATGTGAAAAGAAAAATGAAAAGTGAAAGAAAAATAAGAGATGATGAAATGAGTTTGAAAAAAGAAAGCGGAGAAAAAAATTGGAGAGAAAAAGAACAAAAGAAAAAGAAGAAGAAAGAAAAAGAGGAAAAAGGAAGAAAATGAAGAAGAGAAAGAAGAGGAAGAAAGAAAAAGAAGAAGAGGAAGAAAGAAAAAGAACAAAAGGAAAAAAGAAAAGGAAAATAAGAGCAACATAAGAAAAAGCAAAAATAGAAAGAAAAAGGAAGAAAAATATCAAGAAAAAGATCAAAAAGGAAAAAATGTAAAAGACTGAAGAAAAGTGAAAAACAAGGAAGAAAACAATGAAGGCAAAAGAAAGAAAGAATCAATGAGTGAGGAGTGGATAGAAATAAAATAAAAAGTAAGAGAAAAAAATATACTTAAAAATAAGTCTACTTATGCATACATGACCAAAGTATCCAGTTTGGGTTTATATGCAAAAGTGCATTCTACTGTAAAATTTCTACTAATGCAATGTACTTCTTCATGACACTTCGATTAACGGAAAGCATTATAAAAGCAACATTGTATTTTTGCTGCTTATAAGTGACATTATTTATGCAACTTTTGACCCTTTACAATCTCTCCTTGTTCTATCCATTCACACGGCTTATAGCCATACCATATTGAAACATTAATTCTCATCTGATAACCAAAGTTAAGTAATACCGAGCCTGGTCAGTACCTAGATGGGTGACCATTTGGTAATATCAGGTGCTGTAAGCATGCACTATTGGAGCATTTGTAGATATTGTCAGTGTGGACATAGAAATCAATCCTGCATGGTGATGGCCAGTTTTATGCTTCAAGTGATCATTTCATAAGTAATTTCTGTTTTTAGGAATCAAATTTAATAATAACTGTATCATCTTAACTTCTAATCATAATGTGGCAGCTAAGAATAAGTTTGCAGTGCATTAAAATGTCTTATTTTTTGCATGGCTGTGACAACGTACACAGTGGATTAAAGGTTTTTCCTCTATGATTGTGTAAGACCATATAAAACAAGTATAAGACAAGTAAAATTTTGCAGGTCAGTGGGTTTGTTCTATCCACCATATTCACATAAACTTCCACCAATTGATCATTACTTTTTTTGAATACTGCTAAATACTTTGAAGCAAGAAATTTTCTCTGATGAAGACCAAATTCAAGAGTTTGAAAAACTTTTCACATTTGTATTGAAGATGTTATTGTATAAGATGTGAGCTTGGAATAAAGATTTATTCTTCCGTTTGTATTTCCCCCATTATGAGCATTATCATATCTGTGATATAATAACAATTTCACAGGCGGAACAGAATAGGAAAAGGAATGACAAATATGCTTTGTTCTCAGAGGGACTTTTTTTATCACTAAGGCATACACAAAACTATATATACATATTTACATGTGCCCTATGCAGAGACAGATATAAAGTAGACTGACAGAGAGAATCAGATGGGGTACAAATAGAAATATTGAAGGAGATGGACAGAGAGAGTCAGAAGGGGTAAAATAGGAAGGGAAAAAGAAAGGAACAGATTGTTAGTAGAAAAATAAAAAGAATAAAAAATGAAACAAAAAGAGACAAAGTAAGAGAGATTATAGATGAAAGGACAAGGAGAGAGAGAGAGAGAGAGAGAGAGAGTAAGGGAGATTATAGATGAAAGGACAAGGGGAGAGATAGAGAGAGAGAGAGAGAGTAAGGGAGATTATAGATGAAAGGACAAGGAGAGAGAGAGAGAGAGAGAGAGAGTAAGGGAGATTATAGATGAAAGGACAAGGAGAGAGAGATAGAGAGAGAGAGTAAGGGAGATTATAGATGAAAGGACAAGGAGAAAGAGAGAGAGAAAGGGATATTATAGATAAAAGGACAAGGAGAGAGAGATAGAGAGAGAGAGAGAGAGTAAGGGAGATTATAGATGAAAGGACAAGGAGAGAGAGATAGAGAGAGAGAGAGAGTAAGGGAGATTATAGATGAAAGGACAAGGAGACATAGAGAGAGAGAGAGAGAGTAAGGGAGATTATAGATGAAAGGACAAGGAGAGAGAGAGAGAGAAAGGGAGATTATAGATGAAAGGACAAGGAGAGAGAGATAGAGAGATAGAGAGTAAGGGAGATTATAGATGAAAGGACAAGGAGAGAGAGATAGAGAGAGAGAGAGAGTAAGGGAGATTATAGATGAAAGGACAAGGAGAGAGAGATAGAGAGAGAGAGAGAGTAAGGGAGATTATAGATGAAAGGACAAGGAGAGAGAGATAGAGAGAGAGAGAGAGTAAGGGAGAAATAGTAAGAAAGAGGACTAAATTATTTAGCAGCAAAATCAAAAAACACAAAGAAATTGATAAATAATAAAAATAATACAATTATTATTAAGAATATGAAATGAAAAAGAAAGAACAAGGCAAGAGAGAGTGAGGGAGAATAATGCACATAAAGAAAGGGAGGAGAGAGAAAGAAGAGAAGAAAAAGAGATTGTTCATAACAAAATAAAAATAATTAGGCTAGAAAGAGATGGAAAAATAGTGGAAATAAGAAAGAAAGAAAGAAAAAGAAAGAAAGAAAGAAAGAAAGAAAGAAAGAAAGAACAGTGATAGTATAAAAAGATTAAGAAGGAATAAAGAATAAGGAGAGAGTAAAAGAAAGAAAGAAATTGTTAGTAGATAAAGGGAGAGAAACTAACAGAGGGAAAGTTAAAATTGGGATAGATAGAGAGAGAAAAGAGAGGAAGATGGATAGATAGAGAGAGAAAGTTAAAATAAGATAGATAGATAGATAGATAGATAGATAGATAGATAGATAGATAGATAGATAGATAGGAAAAGAAAAAGGGAGGAAATGGATGGATAGAGAGGGGCAGTTAAAATTGAGATAAATAGATGGGGAGAGAGTGAAAGAGAAAATGGATGGAGAGAGGGAAAGTTAAAACGAGATAGAGAGAAAGAGAGGATGATAGATGAATCAAAGTTAAGATGATATAGACAGGTAGAGAGAGAGAGAAAGATAGGAAGATGGATAGAGAGGGAAAGTTAAAATGAGACATAGATAGGGAGGGAAGAGAGAGAGAGAAAGAGAAGGAGCCAAATAAGATGCAATGATAGCGATTAATAAAGGGAGCTTTTGAGACTCTCTAAAATTTTATATTGAGCTGAAAATGTCAGAAAAAAGAATAAGAATGAATTGTACACCATTTTATTTTTTTTCATTCAATGGATAATCCTAATCTTTGAATTGAATGATCATCAATCAATTTCTTTAGTTGAAAAGAAATTATTTTTTAAATCATTTTTGCATTTTTCATTTCTGTAATTTATGCGACTCTGATTAGACTGAGTTTCTTGCTTCTTTGGGCAAAAACCAATTTTACATGGCAGAAAAAGTGGACAATCCACATTTTACTTTCTTTTCTAATATTCTCTGACAATCATGTTACTTTTTTTCTTTCTTTCATATATATTTTTTTAAATATTTTTTTCCTTACACCTTTCAATTTTTGTTTTTCTTTCCTTTTTATAGTTGTGAATTTTTTTCTCATTTCTTCATTTTTTTCTTTATTTCTTGCTTTGTCCAATTGTCTCTTTCTGAGAGTTTTTCTATTTTTTCTTTCCTCACATTTGCCTTCTGTTTATTTTATTTTGTTTCTTTCCAATAGTCTATCTTTTTTTCTTTCTTTCTCCTCATTTTGTTTCTTTCTTCATTTCCTCTATTTCTTTCTTTTTTCTTTCTTTTCTCTTCATTTCTTTGTTCATTTCCTCTATTTCTTTCTTTTTTCTTTCTTCTCTCCTCATTTCTTTGTTCATTTCCTTTATTTCTTTTTTCTTTCTTTCTTTCTTTCTTTCTTTCTTTCTTTCTTTCTTTCTTTCTCCCCATTATGTGTTTCCTTGTTCATTTCCTCTATTTTTTCTTTTTTCTTTCTTTTCTCCTCATTTCTTTGTTCATTTCCTTTATTTCTTTTTTCTTTCTTTCTTTCTTTCTCCTCATTATGTGTTTCTTTCTTCATTTCCTCTATTTCTTTCTTTTTTCTTTCTTTTCTCTTCATTTCTTTGTTCATTTCCTCTATTTCTTTCTTTTTTCTTTCTTCTCTCCTCATTTCTTTGTTCATTTCCTTTATTTCTTTTTTCTTTCTTTCTTTCTTTCTTTCTTTCTCCCCATTATGTGTTTCTTTGTTCATTTCCTCTATTTCTTTCTTTTTTCTTTCTTTTCTCTTCATTTCTTGTTCATTTCCTTTCTTTCTTTCTTTTTTTCTTTCTTTTCTCCTCATTTCTTTGTTCATTTCCTTTATTTCTTTTTTCTTTCTTTCTTTCTCCCCATTATGTGTTTCTTTGTTCATTTCCTCTATTTCTTTCTTTTTTTCTTTCTTTTCTCTTCATTTCTTTGTTCATTTCCTCTATTTCTTTTTTTTTTTCTTTCTTCTCTCCTCATTTCTTTTGTTCATTTCCTTTATTTCTTTTTTTTTTCTTTTTCTTTCTTTTCTTTCTTTCTTTTCTCCTCATTATGTGTTTCTTTGTTCATTTCCTCTATTTCTTTTTTTTTTTCTTTTCTCTTCATTTCTTGTTCATTTCCTTTCTTTCTTTTTTTTTTCTTTCTTTTCTCCTCATTTCTTTGTTCATTTCCTTTATTTCTTTTTCTTTTTTCTTTCTCCCCATTATGTGTTTCTTTGTTCATTTCCTCTATTTCTTTTTTTTCTTTCTTTTTCTTCATTTCTTTGTTCATTTCCTTTATTTTTTTTTTTTTCTTTCTTTCTCCTCATTATGTGTTTCTTTGTTCATTTCCTCTATTTCTTTCTTTTTTCTTTCTTTTCTCTTCATTTCTTTGTTCATTTCCTTTATTTCTTTTTTCTTTCTTTCTTTCTCCTCATTATGTGTTTCTTTGTTCATTTCCTCTATTTCTTTCTTTTTTCTTTCTTTTCTCTTCATTTCTTTGTTCATTTCCTTTATTTCTTTTTTCTTTCTTTCTTTCTCCTCATTATGTGTTTCTTTTTGTTCATTTCCTCTATTTCTTTCTTTTTTCTTTCTTTCTCTTCATTTCTTTGTTCATTTCCTTTATTTCTTTTTTTTTTTTTTTTCTCCTCATTTCTTTGTTCATTTCCTTTATTTCTTTTTTCTTTCTTTCTTTCTCCTCATTATGTGTTTCTTTGTTCATTTCCTCTATTTCTTTCTTTTTTTTCTTTTTCTCTTCATTTCTTTTGTTCATTTCCTTTATTTCTTTCTTTTTCTTTCTTTTCTCCTCATTTCTTTGTTCATTTCCTTTATTTTTTTTTTTTTTCTTTCTTTCTTTCTCCCATTATGTGTTTCTTTGTTCATTTCCTCTATTTCTTTCTTTTTTCTTTCTTTTCTCTTCATTTCTTTGTTCATTTCCTTTATTTCTTTTTTCTTTCTTTTCTCCTCATTTCTTTGTTCATTTCCTTTATTTCTTTTTTCTTTCTTTCTTTCTCCTCATTATGTGTTTCTTTGTTCATTTCCTCTATTTCTTTCTTTTTTCTTTCTTTTCTCTTCATTTCTTTGTTCATTTCCTTTATTTCTTTCTTTTTTCTTTCTTTTCTCCTCATTTCTTTGTTCATTTCCTTTATTTCTTTTTTCTTTCTTTCTTTCTCCCCATTATGTGTTTCTTTGTTCATTTCCTCTATTTCTTTCTTTTTTCTTTCTTTTCTCTTCATTTCTTTGTTCATTTCCTTTATTTCTTTCTTTTTTTCTTTCTTTTCTCCTCATTTCTTTGTTCATTTCCTTTATTTCTTTTTTCTTTCTTTCTTTCTCCTCATTATGTGTTTCTTTGTTCATTTCCTCTATTTCTTTCTTTTTTCTTTCTTTTCTCTTCATTTCTTTTTTCATTTCCTCTATTTTTTTCTTTTTTCTTTCTTTTCTCCTCATTTCTTTGTTCATTTCCTTTATTTCTTTTTTCTTTCTTTCTTTCTTTCTTTCTTTTTTTCTTTCTCTCCATTATGTGTTTCTTTGTTCATTTCCTCTATTTCTTTTCTTTTTCTTTCTTTTCTCTTCATTTCTTTGTTCATTTCCTTTATTTCTTTCTTTTTTTTTTTTCTTTTCTCCTCATTTCTTTGTTCATTTCCTTTATTTCTTTTTTTTTCTTTCTTTCTTTCTCCCCATTATGTGTTTCTTTGTTCATTTCCTCTATTTCTTTTTTTTTTCTTTCTTTTCTCTTCATTTCATTTTGTTCATTTCCTTTATTTCTTTTTTTTTTTCTTTCTTTTCTCCTCATTTTTTTTGTTCATTTCCTTTATTTCTTTTTTCTTTCTTTCTTTCTCCTCATTATGTGTTTCTTTGTTCATTTCCTCTATTTCTTTCTTTTTTCTTTCTTTTCTCTTCATTTCTTTTTTCATTTCCTCTATTTTTTTCTTTTTTCTTTCTTTTCTCCTCATTTCTTTGTTCATTTCCTTTATTTCTTTTTTCTTTCTTTCTTTCTTTCTTTCTTTTTTTCTTTCTCTCCATTATGTGTTTCTTTGTTCATTTCCTCTATTTCTTTCTTTTTTCTTTCTTTTCTCTTCATTTCTTTTTTCATTTCCTCTATTTTTTTCTTTTTTCTTTCTTTTCTCCTCATTTCTTTGTTCATTTCCTTTATTTCTTTTTTCTTTCTTTCTCCTCATTATGTGTTTCTTTGTTCATTCCCTCTATTTCTTTTTTTTCTCCTCATTTCTTTATTCATTTTCTTTATTTCTTTCTTTTTTCTTTCTTTTTTTTCTTCTATTTCTTCATACTTGTATTTTAATTTTGTTTTTCTTTCTTACAGTTTTTAATTATTTACTTATACTTTCTCTCTAGCAGGTTTCATTTTTTTGCTTTCTTTTTTATATTTGGGAATTTTTATTTTTTACTTTTTATATTTATAAATTTTTTTCTTCCTTTCTTTTTTTCTGTCTTTCTTTCTTTCTTTCTTTCTTTCTTTCTTTCTTTCTTATAATTTTGTATTTATTTTTCTTTTTCACTTTGCTTGTTTCTTTCTGACAGCTTTTCTTCCTTTCTTTCCTCTCATTTGTCTTCTATGACTTTCTTTATTTACATTCTTCTTTCTTTTTCGTTCTTTCTTTTTCTTTCTTCCTTTTTCTTTCATTTTATTCCTTTATCTTTCTTCCTTTTTCTTTCTTTCTATTTTCTTTCTTTTCCTTTCTTTTCCTTTCTTTTTCTTTCTTTCTTTTTTCTGTCTTCCCTTTTTTCTTCCTTTTTCCTATCTTTTTCTTTCTTCCTTTTTTCTTTTTTCTTTCTTTCATTTTTCTTTCTTTCTTTTTCCTCATCTATTTCTTTGTATATTTACCAGAATAATTTTATATTTACAACATTCTAAAGACTAATAGATAAATAAAATTAAAATATAAAATAATAATAATTAAAATTATAAATAAAATAAAATAATAACATAAAAATGTTCATAAAATAAATTAAATAAAAATTTAAAATAATAAAAATACTCCCAACATGCAACAAAAACTATTCCAGCTGGAAAATATGGACATCTCGCCAAAAGACATTAAATTCAATCTCTTTACCATGAACCTTGGTACAGGCAACATGTGTCCAACTTCTCTCTGTGACATTGCTTGTAATACTAAAGTGTAAATTCTCCCTTTTATCACATGTACCATAAAAATACAAACACCAATACACACAAATATAACCTTTACTAATTTCTAAAGAAATAAATATGAAAACAATTTTTTATTCATAAATTTATAAACATTCACTAAATTATTAAAATATATGAACTAACTATGAGTAAATCCTTATTATTTATCACTTTATAGAGTGTAAATCGCTTGGCAATTAACTGATATTTTGCCAATCATTCCAATAGATGATATAATAAATAAATTGTATAAATAAACAATCTAAGAAATAAACAATTTATTATTTTTGTGTTAATTCTCAAGAACAAAGAAAATGTATAAATTTACTTTCATATGTTTAGGTTTTATTAAAATTCTAATCATCGCTTTTTAAAACAATGAACATTGCCGAGGAGTGAAGGTAGTTAAAATAACAGTGTTGCCTAGGCAAGATCATCCTTTTGACATAACTTTTTTTTAAGATTGCTCCAAATTCTATAAGAAAAGATAATGGTCAAATTCTGATCTGATGGCAAGTTGGGCATTGTTCATATGAAGAAAAGAAGAGATAAAAAGGAATGGAAAAATTCTCAGTCGTAATGGTATGGTCTGTTCTTGGTAAAAGATCAAATGACAAAATCAGAATTGCAAAAGCTGATATTTTGTCCAGCCGTGTGCAAACTTGTACATGCTATTATGACCTCCCAGGTTCAATTGCATTCTGCTACACAAGTGGGTAATCATTCCCGAGGGACGTTAACGTGTCTTTGAGATTTTGGGGTTTCTCTACCAGTGATACATACTACAACCCCATCAAAAGGGACCACCATATCACGGGATTAAAATCTTTGAATTTTACAGAAGAAAGTTTGTCTCGTGTATGGAAGGTTCTTTTGCTGCAAGGCAAATACAGGTTTTCATTGGCTCACTTTGGTTCAGCTCAGACGGACAGGTGAAAAATCTTATTAAGAAACCATAGAAGTGTTATATTAGAGAATCAATAATCAAGACTCCAATTCGACAACTTTGCTGTTCATGAAAAAGAAAAAAAAAAACAACAAAGAGACAATATGAATGCAATGACTTTCTCAGCTTTCCTGCAGTTTCTTTACTTAATTTAAAATAAGCTCAAAATGAGAGATATTATATATATATATATATATATATATATTTATATATATATGAGAGAGATATCATAACAGAAGTGAATAAGTATCATAGGTAATTTTCTAAAAAGCATTAAAATGTATAAGTTATCTTTCAATGTCATATCACTTGTCAATGCATTTAATTCAGTTTAAATTGATTACATAAATTGAACATAATGAAAATTTGATATGAAAATGACTTAACAAATGGTCTGAGGTTTTAATTGTAACTTTATATATATATATACATGCATAAACACACACATGGTTTAACATTCTATATATTGGAGAGAGAACATTAATAGATAGATACATTCCTATGTCTACACAATCTCTATCTATATATATTTATTTATCTGCACAGAATTTGTCATTTGATAATCATTTGGGAAGTGCCGGGAACTTTTCAGATTCACACCCACCACTATATATATATATATATATATATATATATATATAATGAAATGGACAAAGTCCAACTATTATTTTAAGACATTTTTATGTTTATACATTCTTTTTATAGATTCAAATATTTAAGTAAATTCTCTGTTTAGAATAAACAGTATTAATAACATTTTACTGCTTTTAAACTACAATCTTCCATGAATCTCTCACGCACATTCATATCTGCTCATGGCATATCCAAATGTAAATAAATGACATCACACATTCTGAAATGGACAAAGTCTGACAATTATTTTGAGCATAAATATGTTATATATATATATATATATATATATATATATATTGATATATGAAGAAATATAGTCTTAAAGTGTGCTATATTTATGGGATAAAGTCCTCAATATCAGAAATAGAGCATGTGTAAATATAAAAGTGAACATTGAAGTCAATACTTAGAGGTGACAGAATGTTTCATGCTAGACACAATCATCAGGCCATATATATATTGATATATATGTATATTTAGGCAGCATAACATGTTTCATTAAATAATATAGACATACTATATCTGTTAATTTCTAGAATAATCCTTTCTGGTTCTCCAATCAGCTTCTTGATGATAAGTTGAAATTCATCAAGGAAGGCACCATATTTTTATTACAAAAGTACTTTTTGATCTCCTCCGAGATTATCCTCAGGGGTGAATTGCAAAGACAAACTTATTTAACTGTGATCATTGTGTTGGTGATTTCGGAAAACACATATGAACACACTCTCTTGAAATTTATCAGTTGTAACTATGGTGTTTTTTTTCCAAACAAGTGTCCCAATGTAAGGGGGCTACCCAGAAATGCAAAATAGCCTTAAATGTTGGTCAAATGCATTTCAAAACGTTATTACACTTGTAATAAATTTTGTTCAGTGTTAGTTGGTTGCTTTTGAGATATATATATATATATATATATATATATATATATATATATATACTAGCAGCCATGCCCAGCTTGTTGATTAGAAAATGTGTTCAATTAGAATGGAGCAAAAACAGCATCATGTTTAGATGTAACAGAGTCTATCTTCTTTAATTACTTTAAAGTATTTTCATCTAAAAACATTTTAAATTAATGCAGTTACTGATATAACAGAAGTAGTCTATTTATTCAATCAAAGTTAGCCGAGGACATGAAGGGGTAAAACAGGCAACATGAAAACCCACTTCAGACTACAATTATTTTGGCGTTAGTCAGTCTGCTACCAGGGATGTAAAAGAGGATACATTTATAAGGCAATTATTAAGTTTCATGAAAATTCATTGAAAGATCAATGAAAAATAAGAATGAAACCAGTAAAATCACCATTTTTGCTATTTACACAGATTTTCACTATATGGGTGGACTCAATTATCAAGTTAAATGACTGTTAAACAATCAACTTATTGTTGGCTACAATTGAGTGAAGTTTGTATTTAGTTTAAAAAATCAGTTTAAAATTTGTGTTGCAATTGATTTGTGTTGAAATCAATTTTTTGTTTTTTGCAGTTTTTCACTAAACACAGTGGTGTAGAAATAAAAATGAGGTATTGTTGAGCTCGTCAGTGTCTAAGTAACCTACATACTGAGTTTGAACAAAATTGGAGGAAAAAATTGAATTTATCAATTTTTGATCGGCTTTATTGATTATTGATTTTTAAAAAAATTATTGATTTTTATGCTAAGAACCTATCTCTTACATTTTACAATGTATTGCCAAGTTTAGTCAAAATCAGTTGGATGGATCACACAGACAGACAGATAGTCAGACACACAGATATCCTCTGTTTTATATATATATATATATATATATATATATATATATATTGGTGTTGTTAATAAGTATTTTCCTATACTGTGAAGGTGGACAGGAATGTGTCTTTAAATGTTGTGCAATAGAACTTGTATCCAACAAATGAAGTGTAAGATGTCATTGATCTTTTTCAAGTCATTTTTGGGAAATTATTGTTAAATCTTCTTATTTCCAAATTATTGATTATGTTGTTATTTTCAAAAGCAATGACATTGTTTTGTTGTGTTGGGCATTTCATTGATATAAATCCAAATTTGTTAATATGCAAATTATTTTCAGTGTATCTGTGAAGGAACAAAATGAATGAAAAAACAAGGGGAAAAATATTCTTAGCTGACATGTTTCGTAGGATTTATTTGGTTACACAGGTTTATATACAAGGGCAAGGATATCATTGGTTTATCAAGGCTTTTAAATTTGAGAAAGTTCATGAATCAGGTGGTTATATATGATAAAAATATAGTTTTAAATTATGCTGTTGAGGAATCAAGAAGACAGAAGATAACAATTGACAGTGCATTTAAATTTTTGAAGATCAAAGTTGGAGCTGGAAAACATGGAAGCTGGAAGAGAGTTAGTGAAATGTTCATCAGAACAATTACCATGAAAATATTTATAGAAAAGACACAGGGGAGATAAATTACAGCAGTGGGAAAGTGACTGAAGCTGAGATGTAAAGTCAGGATTAATAACATTGCAGATTCTTTTTTGGATTTTATTAAGAATCTCTAAATATATAGCAGGAGCCCCAAACCAGATGTGGTAGTAATATTCAAAGTATGGTGGACTTATAAATGTGGATGATAGATTTTGAAGAGAAAATTGTCTTGTACGACAGAGTAAACCAACATTTTAGTAGCAGGCCTAGCAAAGTATTCAGTTGTGTGTATCATGAAAAAGACTGTCACCTCTTGGTGTTGACTTCAATGTTCACTTTTATATATATTATTTTATTTATATATGTATGTGTGTGTGTGTGTGTGTGTGTGTGTGTGTGTGTGTGTGTGTACATATATATATATATACGTATATATATAAATAAAACTTAATATATATATATATTTATATATATATATATATATATATATATATATATATATATATATATATATATATATATATAGTTTTATATATATATATATATATATATATATATATATATATATATATATATATATATATATATATATTGGTTTTTAAGTGTTTTCTAAATTTGTTCAAGAATACAATGTAACAACAATGGAATCTTTATAATATCATTGAGAAACTTAAGTCTTTCTTAGTCTAAAGTACCAAGTGATCAATTCTAAATGCATTTATAAGCTGAGATAGATCTTTCATTAGTGAATCTTCCCTCCTGCTGACAAATTATGATAAAAATATAGTTTTAATGTATGCTATATTTATGGGCAAAAGTGCTCGATTTCAGAAATGGAGCATATATAAATATAAAAGTGGACACTGAGGACAACACCAAGTTTCATACTTGAATGCCTTCTTCAACCCAAATTGCCCAAAGAATTTATTCAAACATGAAACAGATTGTTGCCATACAGTGTTGAACTCTATGTCACACTGCTTATATTTGCATGTGCTCTATGAAACCATAGAGACCTAGTGTAATTAAGGTGTAAATTTAGAATTCAATTATAAACTAGAGTCCAAATTGCTGTTAATGAATCTTGATCAAATAACATAAAGGAATCAAATAACGTTATCATATCTTTATTAGCTAAAGTAAATTAGATCATTCCAATAATAGAAAGAAGGAAAAAGATACACCCATAGAATGTCAATCTGGATTTGAAAAATTGATACAAGAAAGAAACATGCAGAAGAGAAAAAAAATGGAAGGTGAAATACCAAAATATTAGCAAAATACTAAAAGGAATTGTAAATTCTTTAAGAAACCAATATCTCCAGAAAATTGGGAACAAAATTAATGAAGCCAAGCAGCATAGATAATGTGTTAAAATGTCGAGAAAAGTGAAAAATCGCAATAACATCATACAATCGAAACCACCACAGAAGAAATGTCCTGGTCTCAAGAAACATTTGAATAACATTTCAATCCTGACCACAGATCACGCTAAACTAAAAATGCTTGTAAAAATTGAATATATACCAATATACATCTAATCATTACAAAGTCCGTCTCCAAACAAAAACAATAATGAACTTACTAATGAGGAAATTAAGGAAGCTCTTAAAAAATTAAAGAATAAAAAAGGATCACTGAACTTCTGAAAATAGGTTACTTCTTCTGAGAATTCAGTAAGTTCTATTTTATGAAAGAAGTTTGTTATCAGAAATGCATTTCCAAAAAGTGGCTTTTATCATGCATTAAGGCATTATGGAAACAAAAAGGTAGTACTCAAGGCCTTAACACATACTTGGATTTGTTAGAAAGTATTAATGAACATTGTATTAACTAGGTGCACATTGTTTTATGAAACACTTTTCTGAAACATTGTTTTCTGAAACATTGTTTTCTGAAACATTGTTTTATGAAATACTTTTATTAAACATTGTTTTATGAAATGCTTTTATGAAACATTGTTTTATGAGACATTGTTTTATGAAACATTGTTTTATGAAAGTCAACTCCACATGGCCCAGTTTGGTTTTTATTCTGATTAGGAAATTGCTTATCTCTGGTAGGAAATTATAAATCTGCTATGTTGACCTTACAGCAGTAAATGACCACATCAATAGAGACTTCTTCTCATTCATTAGAAAACACCTTCAAAGCTCTGAATCCACTGAATGTGTTGATCTAATAGAAAAACTGTATTAGTCTTCAAATTCTAACATGTTTGGCAAGGACCCCAATATGGAAACATTTCAAACCTCATCAGGAATATGACAAGGAAGGAATGAGAGACCCTGGTCTATTTAATCTTTTCTTTGATTACACCCTGCACATTTACAAGCACAGATGTGAAGAGATGGGCACTGAGCATTCCATACCATATCTACCAATAGAAGACAATGATCCTGATTTGCATCCTGAGGTCAATGTACTGATGATGAGGGTGGGAGGGGTGTAGTGTTGTGCTGTGCCAGTGACATGTTGGTATTCATAGTTTGGATGAGAATGATCTTGAACAGAAAATCAGCATCCTCTATCAAGTGTTCCAAGAAACAGATAAACTTTACACAGATGCATAATAACTAAATATGCATAGAAAATCTATCTATCTCCCTACCTAGTTATCTATTTCAGTCTAGGCATATCTATCTATCTATCTATCTATCTATCTATCTATCTATCTATCTATCTATCTATCTCAGTCTGTTCATTATCTGTCTCTCTATATATGTTCATATCTATATATGCCGATTTTTAAGGTAAGTAGCAACCCCATTTATTCCAATTAGTCTTATGTTATACTAATCTCAGAGTAGTAAATATCAAATCTTCTTCCAAGTGTTCCAAGAAATAGGACAAGATAAACCTTTCCAAAACAGAAACTATGATTTGGAATTGGAATGAAAGCAGTGATGGCAAATTCCGGATGTGGATCTAGTAATGACTACACACTTCAAATACCTTGGTGTATCAGTCATAAATTTTGTATAGGAGATAAGTCTTGCTTGACTGTGAAGTTCTCCATGGCTGAGCAATCAAAGCATGCCATATCAGACAGTGATTTGTCCTGTGAAAAGAGACACAGGTTTGAATCTTACCAGAGGATAGGTTTTCTTTATTAAGATTTCTTGAGTATGCAGGTCACTAGACAAAATAAACATTGTTTTAACCACAAGGGGAAAAAAAGCTCATCAGAACAGCTGCCATGAAAATATTTGTAGAAAAGACAGAGAGAAGACACATCACATCAACGAGAAAGCGACTGAAGTCAAGATGCCTGGTGAGGATCTGTTACATTACAGACCCTTCTTTGAGCAGGAGCACCAGACCAGATATGACAAGAGTATTCAATGTATAGATCAATATTAGATTTATAAATGTGCAAGGGGGATTCTGACAAAAAAAAAAAATTCTGGTATGACACAGTGACCCAACTTTCCTAGCACTAGATATAGCAATTGATTTGATATAATCAACCCACTTCATACAATTGGAAACTGTGTGGCCAAGAAGGCATAGTGTGTTGTTCTTTTGGGATTTAGGATCAGCCAAGTTGATGGCAAGCAGAAAAAGTTCTCCATGATAATTAAATTAAAGCAGTTTTGTTTTGGAGATGTTAACATTTACAAACCATATCTTGCCACAGTTAACCACTGATTAGAGATCCTTTTAGAGAGCAGTTACCAGGTTTACTTTTTTGGGTTCTGTTGGGATAGCTACTAAGACAGGAGTATTTGATTACATCATCTGCTTAAATACCTAGATGGGAACTGATGATGTCAAGGTGATCATTCATGAAGATTTGATAGTGTAGGTCAAAGGAGGAGATCCCTACCTTACTATGCAGTGCAAAATGATCACAGAGATATGCAGGTAAACCCTTGACTTAAAATGTAAATGCAACTGCTGAGTCCATGTTTTAGAGCAATTAATTTTTATTCTTTATGTTTTTATACTGCAAAACAAAATTTGAAAACACCATAAAATATGAAAGATGTGTGAGTAGCATAGTGGTTATTGGCAAGGAAAATTCCAGTTGAGGCCTTTGCTTTTGCACAAATACCCATTAAATAAGGATTAACTAGCAGAGAAAACTAGGTTCTTTAGCAACCAGCCTAGGAGAAGGACAACTCTGAATTCAAAACTGGTTGGGTTTGGGAATAGTAATTCCATCAAATAACTACTTGCTACAGAGATCACAGTAACAACACAGAGCCTGGTGTAGATGTGACACACTGTCACCTACAGGGGTCAAATTAAGTATTAAATTATAACAAAGAATATAAAATACCTTTTTTGACAAATTAGTGTAGTTTTTTTTACCTTTTCTGGCAGTGGGCCAAAATTATTTTCAAAAAATCTATCATGGAGACATATATTGACTTGAAAATTTAATGAATAATAACTTATCAAGTTTTGTACCTTTTAGCCAAAATCAAGGTGTGGTATTTGTTCTCCTCATTTTAGATAGAAGGTGTTTGGTTCTGATGATTCTAACTCAGTGGCAGCACTATCCTTATTACAGTAAGAGAGGTGGCTCTCAGTGTAATATCGACACTAGCAAGACTCAGAGACAGATATGCAATGTGATAGGTCCTGATCTAGCATCTCTCATACACTTTCTCACAGACGTGCTGTGGCTTCCCTCTGTCTTTTCTACAAATATTTTCATGGCAACTGCTCTGACGAGTTACTTTCACAGGTTCCCAAATTGCATGAATTTAAGCGCACTACTAGGTTGGCATCTCGGTCCAACCCTTTCACTGTCGAAACGGTTAAATGTTGCCATCTCTTCTACTCTAATATCTTCTTATCTTTCACTTTCCAACAGTAGAACTCCCTTCCTCTTACTTGCTTCCCTGATAGTTATAATCTTTAAATATTCAAATATAATGTCAATCAATGTCTTCTGATGCCTTGATCCTGATCCCAGTCTTTCTCTATATCCTTTCCTCAAACACCCCTCTTTACTCTTACTCTCACTCTCTATAACCCCTTACGTGATAGTGGCACTTCTTTCTTGCTTGGACTGAAATACTTAAAAAAAAGGCTAAGTGCACAAGGGTGTTATGTGGTATATTGACAGCTGACAAGTTGCTCTTCAACTTGTCTTTGTATCTTAGCCATGGGCGTCCGACATTCCTGTAGCCCTGATCTAACTGGCTGTACGTTAGGATCTTGGGTATCCTGTCATCAGACATTCTCAAGACATGACCAATCCACCATAACTGAGACTGTATGATAAAAGTCTCGATTCCTTCAATATTACACCTGTTAGACAGGTCTACGTTAGATGTCCTATCTTGTAAGTTAACTCCACAGATGGCATGCAGATAGCTTTTATGGTAAACATCCAGCTGGCATATATGGTACCTGTATGGAGTCCACGACTCTGAGCCATACAAAAGGATGGCAAGGACAACAGCTCTTTAAACCTGAATTTTTGTATCCAGTCAAATACCCCGTTCATTCCACAAGTGATTGCGAAGTTTGCCAAATGCACTGGTAGCCTCAGCAATCCGATGCATGATTTCATCATCTAAAGTTCCACTGTAGTTGACTTTACAACCACGATAGGTGAAAGACTTTACATAGTTCAGGGGTTTGTCTTCTACTTTCAATTGTCTCTTTGGAATTTAGTAGACTGGTGGTTTTTGTTTCTCATCACACAATTGCTTCGGAGTAGGACAAGGTTGGTGCACAACTTCGGTTTTCTTTTTTCTTTATGCTAAGTGTAAGACCAAAGGCTTTACATGCAGCAGAGAAATGATTTATTAGATGTTGGGCCTCCTGAAAGGATGTTGCAACAAGAGCAGCAACATCAGATCATGAATAATTTGTGTACGAAGTTGGGACTTGGCTTTGAAGCGCTGATGATTGAAGAAACCACCAGTTGTTCAAAACTGAAACTTGATGCCGCTCTCTGCATCTGCAAATGCATATTTCAGCATCGCTGAGAAGAAAAGGGTAAAAAGGACAGGGACCATGACACACCCTTGCTTGGTGCCTTTGTTTATATATATATATATATATATATAACCTGTGATCATATATAGATCAAATATGGATAACAATTCAACTGAAAAATAGGATAAGTAACAAATAAGAGACTTTTATAAATCTAACAAGTTTTGCTCTTATTAAAGCTTTATCACAGAATAAAATGTGGAGTTGAAAAAGTTTTATTTTTCATTGTTTAAGTAGATGCAGATTTCACATGTACACTATTTGACAAGACTGATTCCTTTTATATATGATAAAATATATTTTATTCTTTTTATATGGATAAATTATATTTTATTCTTTTTATATATGAAAACATATTATATTCTTTTTAAATATGATAAAATGTATTTTATTCTTTTTAAATATGATAAAATATATTTTATTCTTTTTAAATATGATAAAATATATTTTATTCTTTTTATATAACATATATTTTAATCTTTTTATATGGATAAAATATATTTTATTCTTTTTTATATATGAAAGCATATATTTTATTCTTTTTAAATATGATAAAATATATTTTATTATTTTAAATATGATAAAATATATTTTATTCTTTTTAAATATGATAAAATATATTTTATTCCTTTTAAATATGATAAAATATATTTTATTCTTTTTAAATATGATAAAATATATTTTATTCATTTTATATATGAAAACATATATTTTATTCTTTTTGAATATGATAAAATATATTTTATCTTTTTTTATATATGAAAACATATATTTTATTCTTTTTTAAATATGATAAAATATATTTTATTCTTTTTAAATTTGATAAAATATATTTTATTCTTTTTATGAGATGAAATATATTTTATTCTTTTCATATGTGAAAATGTATATTTTATTCTTTTTTTATATATAATGAGAAAAAAATATATATATTTTATTCTTTTATATATGAGAAAATATCTTATTCATTTTTTATATATAAAAAATATATATTTTATTCTTTTATATATGATAAGATATATTTTATTCTTTTTATTTTTGATACAGTATCTTTCATTCTTTTCATATATGACAAAATATATCTTGTTTTTATATATGATAAAATACATTTTATTCTTTTTATATATGATAAAAGATATTTTATTCTTTTACATATGATAAAATATAATTTATTCATTTTATATGAGATGAAATATATTTTATTCTTTTTATATGTCAAAAACATATTTTATTCTTTTCATACATAACTTATTCTTTTTATATTAGATGTAATATATTTTATTCTTTTTATGTGAAAACATATTTTATTCATTTTATATAGGAAAACATGTCTTATTCTTTTTCTTTATGATGAAATATATTTAATTTTTTTATATGTGATAAGATATATTTTATTCTTTTTGTATATAATAAAATATATTTTATTCTTTTTGTATATAATAAAATATTTTTATTCTTTTCATCTATGACAAAATATATCTTATACTTTTTATATATGATAAAATATATTTTATTTTTTATATGTGATGAAATATGTCCTATTATTTTATATATTATAAAATGTCTTTTATTCTTATATGTGATAAAATATATCTTATTATTTTTATATATGATAAAATATAATTTATTTTTTTATGTGAGATAAATATACATCTTATTTTTTTATATGCAATAGCATATATCTTATTATTTTATATGTGATAAAATATATTTTATTCTTTTTTATATGTGATAACATATTTTATTCTTTTTATATGTGATAAAATATATCTTATCATTTTTATCTATAATAAAAT